AGTTTAAGATTAGCTTATGGCTAATGCCCCATTCTAAGGGTATGAATTATAAGATACTGCATTTCAAATGTCTTTGGAACACCTTTGATATCCAAGACCTCTAATTTGCTGCCAACAGTAGACAGTTCTTATATTTAATTTTTTTTCTTGTCAAGATTCTCTTAGTGAATTCTGTACTCCCAGAAGCACATTTCATTTATGCACTGTATATTCCAGTAGTTTCCATGTGATGATATAAAACATGGACCTCACTTTAAGCTTGTCTTGAGAGTTTAGGACACTTGGTTACTTGGCAGTTTTTTAGGGACAATCATAGATACAGAAACATTCAACTTCTCAACAGGACTTTATCTGGCTATTCTAAAACCATGCAGAAATGATGGAAGGTTTGGGGTTTTTTGATTAAAAGAGGGAAGGTGGGGCAGAAGAACAGTTGTAAACTGAGGATTAAAGCTCCATGTCTGAAATGCTTTTTGCTTTTGATTCTTGCCTGGCAACAGTACTTCAGCAGAAACTGGAGCTGTCTGTGTTCCCCTCCTGTCACCCTGTAGGAAGGCATTCCAGAACTCTCGTACTGTATGGAAAGGTTTTGCAGATTGTTAGTGGCACACTGTTGACAGCTTGAGCCTTATGGCTGGAGACCTTAATCATGGAACTCTTTCCTTGCTCAATGAAGCAATGTGTTGAGCTGAAAAATCCTGATTCTGTTAACTTAGCTGCATGTCCAGGACCAGAAAATGCCACATGCTGGCTCATTCGTTTTGAAAACCAAATGAGCACATGCAATTATTTTTATTTCCCTCATCCCTCTATCTAATGTTATTCCAGCCACTCAAGTTGAAAATTAAAAGATAAAGATACTCAGTTTAAAAATACCTTTAGCCTCACTGCTCTTCTTTCCAAAAATGCATAAGCTTATTGAAACCTGAGCTCTGCAGGGACATGAAACCCTCTTTAGGTAAGCTGGTGCCTACCAGCAAATGGTGGTTCCTAATGCTGCACATACCTCATTATTTTTACTGTTTGTGGAGTTTGGAGTCTTCAAAATCTTTTTTTCAAGTGAATTGAACAAAGTGTTACTGTATCTTTAAAAAAAATCCCAAACAAAATAATAACAATAAAACCCCCTCAAACTCCCTCCCCTTATTAAAACAGACTTATGTTTTATATCTTTCCATAATTGAATATGCCTTCATATATATACATATATATACAGATACACATATATTCATATCTGTTCATTTAATGGAAAGGAAAACTTGTTTGAGAATGAATTTCTACATCTGCAAGGAATACTTGCAGACTTTTGCCCAAATCAGCACTGACCTCATAATGCCCTCTTAATTCGCTGAGAATCATTGCATGATCAAACCACCTTGAATAGAAGTGTCCTTGGGAAAAAACTTCTCAGTCTTAACAGCTCAAAGGAAGAGACACAGCACACTCAGCTGTCCTCTACCTGCCTGCAACAGTTATTCTGTGCTTGGACCTTCTCCCCTCCACCCCCTTCATTGCACTGTTGTCTAAAAAGGGAAGTTAAACTGTTGATAATACAACTGTCTCAAACTGACCTCAGCAAGAGAAGGCGTGTTCTTCTTGAATTTGCTCCTTGTGTCTGGGTATCATGAAATATTTGGTACTTAGGATCTTTCCCTAGTACTCTCTTCTTGCAGTTACCTGCAACAGGAAGAGGAAGGAAGGGGTGCCAGAGCCTTAACCTGGATGCATTTGGTTGGTTTATATCAAAACTTTAGCATAATTTTAATGTAGTAATTTCTATTTAATAGTACATAACACTGAATATGTAGGGATTATTTTAAAGGGATTTTCTAAATAGTCTTCCTGTTTTGCTTTTCAATGCTCCTCACATCCCCTCATCCTGCTCCTGCCATCCAGGCTTCTGAGATTTTTTTTTAATTATTATTATTTTAGATCACTGTTTAGTTGCTTGAATGATATTAATGCAATATTACTAATGCCTTTAATACATAATTGTTTATGCCAAAGATCACTTTTTGTTTATTGAGGAATGTTTGCAGGAGAATTATGAATCATGGTTGCGGTTGCCTTTGATATTCTTCCAGAATGTTTGCTCTAAGTTCTCAAACTGTTTATAGAAGCTGAGATACTTGACCACCTTATGCAATTACTGCATTTTTGAACACTATTGGTCTTCAGAGCTGAAGTGCAGCAAAAATTTCAACAAGACCATGAATGTCACTTAGAAATGTTTTACCACTATAAAACTTTGTTTATAAACCAAAATGTATTGTATAGTCTAATGTTTTCAACCTTTCTTTGGTTCTGTTAAAACAATAAAAAAGCATTTGTACAAAAATCAGCTTCTGAGTGTTAATGATAACAGCAGTGGATGATGCTGCAACAAGAAGAGCAGAAAAAGACTAAAGCAAAAGAACAGTTGTGTCTGCATGTTCTGAATAGAAAGAAAGTGCAAAGTTTCTAAAACATGAGAAGATTAAACAAAGGGGTTTTTTTGGTCTTTTGTGCCTGTCAAACTAGTAATTAAATAATTTACTGGAAGCTGTGTTCAGTGGGAAAGAACAGATTTTCCTGAGACCTGACAGTGATCTGTTAAGAAAACTTAAAATGGGGTTGGTCTGGTCCTGCCAGTAAGGGAAGAACTCTGACCAGCATCTTGTTAATGTGAACTTTACTTCTTAAAATGAATGCAAGGGTGATGAGTATGAAACCACTGTTATATTTCCTTCACTCTGACACTGTAAGAACATCTTACATTTTTTCTTGCTAAAAATTTCTACCAGCACACAATGTTGTGACTTGTTGGAACCAATGTTTATTGGTACTGTAGGACCAAACATAGCCCCATAGTCCCAGAGGGCACCTGGTATTTAGTAATAATTGGTAAAATTCAGAGTATTGTACTGTTCACAGTTCTCTCCATATCTGAAAGATGAGACCCTGACAGACAACCACTTTGTCAGCACTCCCAGAACTGGATGAGGAGAAGGGGAGATCAAAATCTAGCAGTGTAATCCCTTGCTAATGATACCATCTGATTCCCTAAACTCGACTCTTCAGAGAAGTGCTAGTACATTTACAATGTTTATTGGTACTGTAGGACCAAACATAGCCCCATAGTCCCAGAGGGCACCTGGTATTTAGTAATAATTGGTAAAATTCAGAGTATTGTACTGTTCACAGTTCTCTCCATATCTGAAAGATGAGACCCTGACAGAAAACCGCTTTGTCAGCACTCCCAGAACTGGATATGAGGAGAAGGGGAGATGAAAACCTAGCAGAAAACCTTGCTAATGATACCATCTGATTCTCTAAACTCTACTCTTCAGAAAAGTGCTAGTACATTTTTTTTTTTAAACAGAACAGGAACACAGGCCCCCTTCTGCTTTGTGTGTTTACATAACAGAAGGATACAGAAGGAAACCAGCACCTGTACAAGAAAAGGTACTGGCCTCACACACTTGCAACCATTTCCTTGATAAAACACATCTCCATGCCCAACTGAAGGTGAGTGACAGTGAGTTGTGGTGGTGAGCAGGGCTGCCCCTGATAACAGCTGTTGTGGGAGCCTCCCTGGTGCCCAAGGTCCTGGAACAGACAGGGTTTGTTCAGTCACACCTGGGGGGCAGTGCTGGGGTCAGGACTGGAGCTCTGACACTCCTGTGTGTCTCAGCTCAGGAAGGGTGTCAGCTCTGAAGGGCCATGGGGCAGCATTTCCAGGCTGCTAATGCACAGAGCAGCTCCAGCTGCTCAGACTTCAGCTTGGGAGGTTAGCCATTACCTCTGAAGACATTTCTTCTACAAGTACAGTAATGAAGGATGCCATTTGCTGAAACACAGAGCACTGGTTCTTCATGGTGCTGTTTTATCTACTGTAATTTTAGAAATTCAAAATGGTTGTTTATGGCCAAGTTTACCCTAATGATATTACTGAAGCTACAGAGACTATATGCCCATTTCTTTCCTTACTGACTTGCTGCCAGGGTTCAGATGGATTTCCCCTCTTCTTTCCACACTGGATCATTTTTGTCCCAGTATTTGAAATTTTGACTAAGTGACTTTGCTTCAGATGAAGAGTAGGAACCAAAGCTAGTACCTACTCACTGATTAGTAAGCCAAACAGGTTAGAGAAACAAAGGGTGTCCAGTATCCCATCCTTAATTAATAATGGCCAAATGCATGGTTTGGAACCTGATAGCTACTCTGGAGTATGTATTGGTTTAGAGAGATGGTTTTGTTGGTGTATAACAAGAAGTTCACTCAGCTTTGCTCTGACTGTTGAGCCTTTGAAATATCATAAATAAATAGCTGTCCTCCGTTTAAAAATAAGTAATATGAAAGAGACCTTACCTATTGTGCTTTTAACAGCCTTTTAAAACTAAGCAGCTGCACAGTGCTCAAATTCAGTGAAGATACAGCAAATAGTCATTGCTTAATAGTGTATCAGATGCCTCCTGCTTAAGAGCACCATGAATCGTTTACAAGAGATGAACATTTCATAAGGTGAGACATATTTGCAGTGGAGTTCCCTTTATTTCAGAACATTAAAGCACACAACCATTAAATACACTTGACACTTCTACTGTGCTATCTAAAAAGCTATGCTGGAAGGTACACACTGCACAGACCTGGTGGCATCCACTTCAGACAAGTGGAACACCTAAATCAAAGCAAAGGCTTCACATAAAAAATAGATCTTGCTCTCTGCAACTCTATTCTTAAAAAAAATGATGGGGATGATGGGATTGAATGGAAAGAAAATGGATTACTAAAGCAACAATCACCTCCCAGATTTAATGCAGGATGTTATTTTTATCAGCTCATCTGCAGCTGGCAGAAATGAAAGCTGATTAAGGCAAATGCTTCTTAAGAAAGGCGATTTCTTGTAAACAACACAGAAATTATTTTTTACTTCATCAGAAGCTTTTTCAGGAGTGACACTTGCAATGTCCCAGGCCCTGGGGGGACCCCTGCCCCTCTCACTGCTGTTCTCTATTTCTGAAGAGATTACATTGCTTTGTGGAATGCCAGCTTGCAGCTGGCTGTGGGTGGAACTGAGCTTGATTTGCAGGTGGCTGCAGCAGCAAAACATGCCACCAGAAGACTTCCAGTGGCCTGTCTGGTCTTCAAAATGTGCTTGACCTCAGGGCTTTGGTATCCGACTGGCAGTGTAGTGTTTGCAACATTCTGTGGGTTGCCCATATCAAACTATTCACCAGCACAACAATTCAGTAAAAAAAGAGTGAAAGTGTAATAGAAAAAAAGTACCTTATTTTAAAGCTATATTAAGAAAACCTAAGCTATGCTTTCATTTGAAGAGCTGCTGTGCACAAATGCTTTGATCCCAAACTAATCAGTGTTCTATTAATTAATTGGCACCTAACCAACATAAGTCACTAAGCAGTCAAGTTTTTTTAAGGGGAATTTCCTCTTAGCATCTTCTCATGTCCTGACTTGGAATTTTCCTGCTTTTGTAATGTATTTGACCCCTTTAAAAGGCTTGTATTTTTCTCCATACATGTCAAGGCGATTCACTTTCAGTCCTGAAAAAAGACAGAGACAAGAAGAAAGTTAACAGCAGAATGCTAGGAATCACAGCAGTCTGATCAGATATCCGGCTGTCTTGAGAGCACATTAGGATTGGTTAGGAAGCTCGTTTTCCTTTCTTTCACAAGTTCATCTGGTTTGGAGTGGCAGATGAGAACGTTCTTGTCACCTAATCACAGCTGTCTTGGCAGGGCAGCACCTTGTTTGTCTTCTACTCCATAAGCAAACATCCTCCTTGCAAGAGATGAACTATGGAAGAACCGAGTCTATCTTCCACAGCTCCTGTCCACTGCACTCCTTTCCAATCATGGAGATGAAGCAAAGGACAAGTTTTAGAATTCTTTTCACTCCAAGTCATAATTGCAAGAACCAGCAATCCCTCTGCTATTCCTTGAGGAAGGCCAGTAGCTGTTAAATACCTACAGCTTCAGGCTGTTCTGTGCTTTCTCACAGGTCTGTTATCTTTGGTGTCCAGCCACTGGACCAGCTCTATCTTGCTAGATTTAAACTAGTTTAGGAGGAAACTGCAGGATTCTGTTCTTACACAGGAGCTGTTGTTCACTCCAAATAGTCTGGAGGCCAAAAAGACCATAGCCTGGTACCTATCCAGAAAGGTACCATGTACTACCACCAACTCTCATCAACTGCCTTCAGCCATCCTCCTCCTCTGCCTCTCTGAATGTGAGTTCTTGCATTGTTAGAGCCTTAATCCTGCAAAGCTTGCTAGGAGAAGCACTTTACACAGGGTCAACTCACATGATTTAAGTGTTTGCAGACTGAGGCCTTGTCTGCTTTAAATTTACTTTTGCACTTACCCTATAAACTTCATTCTGCTTTTACTTACAAATTGTTTCAAAGATGAAAAACTAATCAGCTCCAGAAGGAAAGAATAAGAAGGGCATTCTTGAAAATTAATGCATTTTTATGACCACTAGGAAGAGCTTTAGTGGCATAAGGCTAAAGCATGTCAGGACCAGCACACTAAATCATCATCCATCAATCTTCACTAGAAGGATATGTTTGCATGTTTAAAGCACCAGTCAACAAAGAAAAATCCATTCTTCTGTATACTTCTCCCAGTCTTTCTTGAGCAAAACAACTGGGAATTCACAATTCCCAGCAAAGACATCTTCCATCAAGGGTAACTGTCAGGTTTGGGTAAATCAGACTTTATCATTTTGGATCAAGCTGACTTCAGATCTGCACCTCCAATTAAATGATTAACAGTTTTCCACTTCATTTCCTACACCAACTTGTTCTGCCAGCACCAATTTCATGTAATACCCCCCCACTCACCTGAAATTGCAAGCTGTTGTATCTTAAACTGGATGTTTAAACTTGGGTTCTCCTCTGGCTTGGGGGCTCCAGACTGCAGGTTCACTATGCCCTTCAGGTTTGGTAGCTTTTGAGGGGTAATTTTGCCCACATCCCACGTTAGCACCTTGTGAGGAAGGAGATAATAGTAGTAGTAGCATTCTAGGAAACAACCTATGAGGTCAAGTTTATGTCCAGCTTTTAGTTTGCAGGCTGGGTACCAACAGTAGCCTGGGAGCCCTGAGAATTCCCTCACTGGCTGGGAGAGGGCTCCTGCAGATATGGGACCTGTCTGTGTGGGTCTGTGCACTGAGAACATCTTGCTCCCTTTGCTAAGGATAATTGACCCTGATGCCTGTTTGGGTCAGCTGGATCCATGAAGCCAAGACAGGAACCAGCACAAAGACCATAGAAACTTAAACACAAGAATGAGGAGGGTAGGAGCAAGGCACTGGACCAAAGGAGATTGTCTAAACCAGACTAACTTTCTCAAGGCTCACTTGTTTGCCATTGATTCTTACAGTCATTGGAGAAATGTGGAACCTTGGAGAAATGTGGAACCAAGCAGGTCCTTTACTCACCCACAAGAGGTGGTTTGTTTGTTCTTATCATAAAGTCATAAATACAGAAAGCCCTCAATTCTCTATGCTTTTAAAATTTTTTGCAGTTTCAATTCACCTAGTTATCCCAGCTCTTGATAAAAACACAGTAAAATTTATTTCTGCAGAGAGGAAAGCACACCTTAAGTTTTTTTGTTGGTAAAAAACTATTTTTTTTCTTTTAAAAAGAAAAGTATATTTTTTCTCTTTTAAAAAGATCAAGCTCTGTTGTTTTTGAAACAAAATGCTACTTGGAGAGCTTTCCCTAACAATTTTAATGAATTGCTGACTGAGATATTACAAGGGCAGCAGAAAGCTCAGAGCAGGGTATTAGAGCCAGCAGAATGGTTTGGCTCAAACCGCTTTTCAGCAAAATGGCTCCTGGGTACTAAAAGGCTTCAGGAGCTTTATGAAATTTAGGTCTCAAACCCCAACTCAGAGGCAAGGAATCAGGAGCCCAAGAGATGTGTTTTCAGACACTTCATTTTCCTGTGTGTCTTTAGGCAGATCTTTCAGAAGAAATTTTTTCTCATCTCCTGCTTCAGTTTTTCTGTCTGCCCATTTTCAAGGCTAGTGCATTGTCTTCAGAAAATATGTTTCCACAACATATATGCAAAAAATATAATGGCTAAAACTATCAGCAAAATACTGCTGCATCCACTAAGGAAAGATATTAGTGGGTGAAAAAGCAGGGTGAAGAGAGGAAGGGAAGGAAAAGCATCCTGTCAAAGTCAGAAATCAGAGCTGATGTGTACCTGAGTTTGAAAAAGCAAATTTTAAAGGTAAATTTTTAATTCAGAAACATATGCTTAAGTGAGCTCTCCCAAGTGTGGAACACTGTTCCAGTATTCTGCAATATGGATGACTTGTAGTAATGCCATCTTCAATATTTAAATAAATAAAAATTCAAGACTTACTTTAGTAACTGGGTCAAATGTATAGCTGCCTTGTGTAGCAGTGAGGTTCATGTTAAGTACAGCCTTTGGCATGTGAACTGTCATGACTACTCCTTCTACTGTTTTCCCCATATTCTGTTTTGGTCCAATGGTAACGTCAAATCTTCCTGAAGAAGTATTTTCCTTAAAACTGATCATGTGCTTCACATATACCGGAATTGCCACCAAGCTGGAAAGAGAAGACAGTAGCTGAATGCATCCTGGCTACTTCTCTGCTTGAGAAATTAAAGCACTTTCTCATAAATGGTTCTTGTGTTTCTGGTAGGTGTTCAAGTTAGAACTGGTTTGTTTCAGAAGTAATAAGTGAAGTGATACTCTGCTCTTCAGCATCATGGCTGAAATTATTTTATCAGCAGAGAATCACAGGAAAAATATTTTCTTATTTTCATCCAAATACCTTGTCCTATTCTCTCGACATCTGGTTGCTGTTTTGTTTTGTTTTGTTTTTTTTAAAGTAATCTCACTGACCCAAATCTCAGAAGAGCCACTAGTCAGATCAGACTTTAGTTTGCAAATATCTGCAATTTGGACTTTTTTGCTTTACTGTCCTCATGAAGCTCAGAGTCCTCCATGTAAACAGAGACTTACTCATCAACTACAGTTACTAGGACTGAATAGCCCAATATCGCTGTCGTGTGATTTATTCCACTGAAAAACTACTGCTGAATATCTGCAGGTCACTGAAAAACGGTTTTCCTCTTTTAGTAGGGACAGAGCAACAGCTGAGACAAAACCTGAGCACACACATTTCAGACCAATGCAAATTCCCCCTGTACAAGGTGGAAAGCAGCAGGTGGTGTGGCTGCAGGAGCAGTGTGGCTGGATGGAAACGTACTTCTGGGAGCTGACGCGGTAGGAGATGAGTCTGAAATTGCCGTCGGGAGGAATGAAGGAAAGGACTCGCTCGGACTCCCAGCGTTTGAACCGAATGCACGGATGGAAGCTGACGTCATCCAGCAGCCGTGGGTTCTGCAAGGAGAGGCACGGTCAGTGAAATCTCAGCAAGTACCAGCAGCTTGAGCTAGCTACTGAACTCTACCCAATTCCTAATCTTAGACTGAGTAGCCATTGTCAGAGACATGTTACTGAGCTAGATGGATTTCTGATCTGACCCGGTACAGCAGCTCCTGTGAGGGTATTTTTATGTACACACAAAAGCCATTCCAACTACTGAACAATGCAGCTTCTACAATATCATGCAAAACTTGTTACTTCATATGTGTAACACATGAAATTGTGATAGTGATCTTAAAGTTATTTAACTCTGATCACTAAGAAAAAGAAATCCTGAGCAATTAAGATTCCCAAATATAGGCTGAATTTACCATGAAAGACAGAGAAAGATCTGGCATTCCTGAGAGCTTAATACACGAATCAATAACGCCTTGGATTTCTGCAAAGACTGTGGAACCTGCAGGGAAAAACAAGACACTTGACTTAACATTATTATGAAAGGCTTAACAGATGTGCTGAAGTGCAGCTAGAGGGCACAGATGACATTTGCACAACACTCAACAACATGCCAAGCCCAGCTAGGAAAGGTCATTCCAGTTACCTGTGTCCTGGGCAGCTTGCTAAAATACATGAGCCAGAGCAAACAGCCTGTCCCAAACTGGTTCATGATACTTGTGCCAGCTGTTACACAGAACTTGTACTGGATGTGCTTGAACTGGTTGCCAGCAATAAGCAAATAAGAATTTGTCATAACACAGCAGCTCTGAATCTTTTTTTTCATCCCTGTCCCTGGTCTCCAGAAAACTAGAAGTTGAAGCACATAAAAACAGTCAATGTCAAAATGCAGTAAGTTGGTGCTAACTTTGGCTTTCACAAGTAATGGTTGTTTAACAATGAAATTAAATATTCATCTTGATGTTAAATAAATCTATAGCAAAAAAACCCAAACCCCAAAGCAAGAGTACCAAGCATTTTACCCAGGAAATGCTCATTTCCTGAAATATCCTCTAAGTATAGAAAGGCATAAGCAGGACCCTGGACTAATTAATTAACTCCACATGCAAAGGTAATTTTAGAAGATAGGTAGAAACTGGCTTATCTAGGCAAGGGAAAGGAGAAATGGTGGCTTTATACTTGGTTTGAAAAGAAGTGATCCTGTTTCAGGTTAAAGCAGTCGACCATATCCCTGTGAAACGAGATAACCTCCCTATTCTAGGGGAGCAACCTTATCTTAGTCTTGGTGAAGGCTATAAAGAGGGGTTCTTGCATTGCTGGTCCCCAAGGGATCAGAGCAGAAAAGAGTAGCTATGACTACTGCAGCAGATCCTCAGTAGGAAATTAAACACTCAGTGCACACTGACTTGGCCTGAAATACACACAGAAATTCACCATGGTGTTGATTGTACCTTCTCAGACTAAGCACTCACACTGCTCCTGGGAATCCTAAGGAGCTAGGACAGTAACACAGTCATCAGCAGTTCTCTAAGGGCCCTATAAGGGCCACCTCTTCCTTTAGCTTCAAGATGGGGAGAGTAAGAGCTGCACAATGGCTATTTATGACTATCCACTGCAGTGGTGGCCAAAGCATTTGCTGAAGTGGTGTACAGAATCAAACCAACACTGACACTGCTACAACAGCAGCACTGAAAGAATAATCAGAGGCTTGCTCCCTGCCCCATACTACCACAAAAGGGTGTCCTGCAGTCTTCACCCTTGCTAGCTGCTGGCCCCAATACTGAACAAAACAGCAGGTTCCTGCCCACAGCTTTGCAGTTTTCTTTTTGCATAATTTTTTTTTATTTTTCTTGGCATAAAAGTTATCAGGTTCCTCCTCAAAGTTAAATTTCAGAAAAAAGACTTTTGTATTTGAAAATGTTACAAATTTGAAAATGCTGGAAATGTTCTATTCACAGAAAAGAAAGGAGTATTATTATGCTTCATAATATCTGGCTCCTTACATATAAGGAAAACAATACTGTCCAACTATTTTGCACCAATTTTAGCTTGCTATCAAAAGAAAGCTAATGAAGGATTTTGTCTTGCTCACTTGAGGGCCTTCAAGGACTACAGTACATTGTTGGCAGGAACAATGGGAGATAATTTTCTCATCACATTTTAACTACTTTTTTTCCCCATTTATATCTGTTATGAGATAATCAATATACAAACAGAAAACATACTTGTGGATGTTCTCGAAGCAGCCCAGAGCATGTTGCTGTTTTAACAAGAACTGAAGAAATACACTTAAGCCCATCATTTTAAATGGAATATTTCTACCTAAGATATAAATGCATGCATGTAGAACATATGCAAAAAAAATAAGAGGGTTGGACTGTATTCTCTCTAAAACATCATTAGCTACATGTAAACACACTTGAGATACAAATACCCGTTTGCAAGACATCTTACCTGATTTGTCTATAATTGCATCAATTTCTTCAATGACATCAAAATAGGCTTCGTTGTTCGTGTATTTGACTCCCGCTCTGCGCCAAGGAATGTTGGATAACTGTCCAGTGGGAAGTGTGTCTCCCACATTACTACTGCCTTAAAAATTAAAAGGAACTTAAAATCAGTAATTAATTACAAAAGGAATATTTCGACTGCCAAAATTAAAAATCAAGGCAAGGCTTGCCCCAGGTACTGTAGGCTAGAGCCTGGACCCTTCAGTGTTATTTGTGAGGTGACATGAAGGCACTGGAGCCATGTGTCCAGACTTAATAGCTTTCAGACTACATCTTGCACAGCAAAATACAATACTCAAGTCAACAGGAGGTTTGAGTGGGAGTAGATGTGGGGCTAGATCTTATGGAGGATTTAATCCCTAATTTCAAGACAAGACAGCTCCCTGTGAGAGCCTTAAGCCTGCTTCCCCCTTCTCGTAAGAGTTTTAGCTGGATGACTTCAGGGCTGATTAACAGGTAAGAGTCATTAGTAAGAAAGATGTGTAAGAAGCCTTAGGGAGGGCTCCTACAGTCTTTGCCTGGAGCTGGTGTAGGCTGAGGATCTCACCCTTGGTACCTATCTGAGCTACTCTGCATCAACATGACAGCCATGTCTATACCTGACCATGTGTCAAATCAATCCAGACCCTGGCCTAGACTGGACTTTCTGGCTTGACCTGTCCCATTCTGATGGATGTTACGGGCAATCACTGAGCTGTAGATGACCTGTTAATCATCTGATCCAGTCCCTGACCTGTTGCCTCACCTTCTGGGCTCCTGACCAATACCACTGTCCCTGCCTGCCTTGCTCTCACCCTTGGCCCCTGGCTCTCAATACCATCCAGCATGAGTAGAAGGCTTCCTGAGCTACCTAGTTATAAAGTAAATTGATACTTTAAAAAGAAAAAAAAAATCTTATCACTTCTGAGGCTTAGGTGACTGATGCTGGAATCCCAGCACAGTGTAAACAACTCCCTCTGCTAGAAGTAGGTCTTGGGATAGGGCTCATGCTGACTTGTGCCCTTTAGCACAATGAACATGGTAGTGTGGTGTTGTGCCACGTGAAACAGCTTCACTGAGAAGCTGATGGGCAGCAGGTATCATTTCTACAAAACTTGCTTGGGCAGACCCTAGCCTGGCAGGCAAAAAACAAGTTTTCATTCCTTTGAGCTAGCAGAAATAGTTACTCAAAAAAACTCCTTCCTCAAGTCCACCCCTATATGTACTACAACTCAGAGAGGAGGAGTTGCAACCATTTCTTCACTCCCACTGCATCTCTGAAGAGGAGCAGTTTCTGTGTCTGTCCTTCAGCAGCCTTGCAGGGTGCAGCAGTCCTGCCAGGCCAGGTAGACAGGAGACATCTCAGGCTGCTGTTTCCACCTGCTTAGAGCTGAGCTGTTGACAGTGACAAAATGCAGGTTGCCTTGGGCAGGCACTTTAGGCTCCTACGGAATTTTAATAAAGTTTTGGATAAAACACTTATTTTCATAAGTGTAAATACTAGCATTCCAATCCACATGTAAAAAAACTAATTAAACTCCAAATAACAGAAATTAAAACTGATGAGATTTATACCCAAAGACTAAACCTTAAAGACCAGCTCCTCTGAATATTATGTGTGTGGCCCTGCACACACATACTCCCTTCTCTAACACAATGTACAAGTGACCGTCTCACATCTCTCTGCCCCCACGTGACACTCATGGCTCACCTCCCTTGCACCCGCTTGCCAGACAAGCAGATTCCACCAGCTCAGCTGACAGACATTTGGCTTCATCACTGCAATACAGACCCATTTTCAACAGCCTGAAATCAGTTGCGAAATCAAATCCATATGAATCCATGTGCTGCTTGGTGGTGGGGGCAGGGTGGAAGAGGAGGACAGGCTATTTGCTTCCCTTCATGTATCTGCTCCCACCCATCAAGGATTTATTACATATCTATTATATACCTTCCTATAGGAATTTCTTACAAAATGCTTAACCTTCTCCAGTGCCTTCAGTTATTCAAGGCTTGGGGTGAGCTCTGTACCAATCCCAGAGCACCTGTCTCCAGTATGTCCTGACTGTGTGTCCTGAGCTGCTGTTCCTGAGGGACTTCAGCAGCTGTGGCTGAACCAGGCAGTGCCTCCAAGGACAGCAAAGGGGCCAGGCATAAACTGCTGACATGGAGGGACATGTTTTTATTCAACTCCTATCGATGAGAAATGGCAGGACAGTGTCCTCACCTTACAAATTCACACCATTTTACTATTTTTTAGCTAGGAGAAATGATGGGGCTTTTTTTTTAACAGCCATCATTGCTGAAATTACATATTTTCATACCTGTGATGGAGTTGACAACAGAGCGCAAAATTGTGGGAGGCTTAATCAGCTCCTTCAATATGTTAGATTCTGTTGCCAGTGGAAAGCCATTGTCTAGCATTTCTTCTAGAAGTTCATACACAATTACTACATTGTCCTTAATTGCCGTCTCAGAACATTCGCCGAAGTAATCCTAAACAAGTTCAGAGATTACAAAAGAGAGGATTTTTATTCCTGTTAGAATGCTTTGCAACAGGAAGTTTGTTTGGTTTTTTCTTACAGAAACCCTCCAATATATTAAGGCATTTTAGTGCCTAAACTGACTATTTCTATACCCTGATGACATCATATTGTTAAAGTCAGATTTGGGTTCTGGTGCCTAAAATAAATGCACAAAATAAACCTCTTTTTTCTTTTGTACTCTGTAAGCCTGTTCTTGACTTAAAAACTGCAGACAGAAAAGTCACTCACAGAAGAACTTTATACAAAAAAATCCCTTGAAATCATTTTAGAAACATAGAATCTCAGAATGTTATGGGGTGGTCCCAACACCCCTGCCATGGGCATTGACACCTCCCACTAGATCAGGTTGCTCCAAAGCCCCATCCAGCCTGGCCCTGACCACTGCTACAGCTGGGGCATCCACAACATCTCTGGGCAACCTGTTCCATTCACTATTTTACTACCCTCACAGAACAGAATTTCTTCTTAATATCTAGCTTAAATTTCCCCGCTTTCAGTTTGTACTTATTTCTCCTTGTCCTATCACTATAGTTCCTGATGAAGAGTCCCTCTTTGGCTTCCACACAGACCTCCTTCAGATACTGAATTTTAAAACCACTGAATGGTGACAGACCTGGAAAGTATCTGCTACTCGGTGCAGGAATTCAATTACGAAGAGTGGTGGCACTTCTGTCTGTATGACAGACACAAAGAAGATTTTATCCCGGTAGATGCTGATGAGGTAGTGATGTGGAGTTGAGATGACAGGAGGCACATTCTCAACATCGATTGCTTTCTCCTGAGCTTCGAAGAAATAATCGCACACAGATTGGCTCACAACGCTCTTCCAGTGCTTCTCCAAGAAGATATCCCCAGAACAGTTTATAAGAAACAGGCTGTGGATCATTTTCTGTTGGAAACACATTAAAAGAATATAAATAAAAGGATATGTGGACTGACATTTCATATCCCAGATTCCCTTTCTTACGATGGGACTCTTTATTAACATGCACTGTGAATTTAGGGAAAACATCTACTTTGTTGCTTTTATTTGAATTCCATTTTCTTTATTTACAAGAATATTCCACAAAAAATATTTGCCACTGGATTAAATTGCTAATGTATATCATAACTCAAGCATGAAGAAAGCACCCTCATTTTCCACTTTCATCCCTATCTGGTTTTTGCAATTTATTTCTTTAAGAAAAGCTGACTCCCACGAGCTGGCACTCACTCAAACGTGTTTGCCGACATGAAAGAATTACTTGTACAGAAAGTTTCCTATGGTAGTTGGCCTGGCACTTGCCCACTTAACTTAGAATTGCTCTGTCTTAAAGATACAGCTCTTTAGCTTGTCAGCTTTAAGCTGTTGTACTAGAAAAGTGCTTTTTACTTGTTGGCAGATTAGTCTTATGATCTATGCCAAGCTGCACTTGGGTAAAGGGTTGGAATTCATTAAAAGTACACAAAACCAGCCATTTAAATCTGATTTAATGGATAAAATTGTCTCAAATGTGCTTGGCATGCATGAAATATGTTTACATAAAATGTTTTTCACTTAAAAAGTCACTTACGTAAAAGAGGAGTATGAATTGCAGGTAAGGAATGTAACTTTTTTCTTATCTCTTTAAACATTTACAAATAACATGCCTCAGCCACTGATCCTTCTTTTTATTCATAGGGCAAGAAGCTTATGTGCCTATTAAAAAAATAATTCCAAGCCTATTTCTCAACTTTCAATGTGATAGTAAGTGAACTATGTAGCTGATAAAATGAATAGACTATTATCTCTGGATCTACAGAGAAGACAAATGCTAGCAAACTTCAGTTTATCTCTTCAGCCTTCACATGAGACAGACACAATGCTTTAGCTGACCTGCAGCATAATGATCCTCTTGAAAACTACGTTAAAACTTGGGCTTAGAAAACAAACCAAACTGTAACCCCAACAGCAGCTTCTGAAGGTGAAGTTAACCTGGTACTCCATGTCAAGCATAAACTCATCTGTAGTTGAAGAAGCTGCCCCTGGCACTGGCTGTTCTTCCCTTCTGCCTCTCAGGTACTGATCTGAGTAGGTCTGTGGCTACTAGACCTACTACATTAGGAAAATAGTCCAGCCAGAAATTGACCCAGCAAAAGGAGCTGCTGGTCAGACCAGCTTCCTAATGCAAGTTATTTCACTGCCAGAGAGTGCTGGAGCTGGCACAGGGCATGTGGTGGAAATGGGCAGGCAAGAGCAATGGAGATCCAGAATTGAAAGTTACCCTTTGGAGGAATTCAAACATGACTTCAAACAGACCAGACAATTACTGGGTGTCCACATCTTGAAATAGGAAGACCACCATGAACTCTCCATGTCCAAAAGAAGCCAAACACACCTACCAAAAACCCATCATAGTTTTCATTAACTTTACCGTGTTTGCCCAGGATATTGTCCTAAAATGCAGATAAAATTAGCTCCTTCTCTGTTAACTTTGGCACACTAATGTAAAAATAGCGTGGAAGCATCTAGATGCACATTGCCCAGTCCCACAGAGATTTTAGGAGTATAAACACTGTATGACTAAATCTCATTCCAGAATACTGCAATTAAGCACTCAGACCTGTTATTTCACTGCCAGAGAGTGCTGGAGCTGGCACAGGGCATGTGGTGGAAATGGGCAGGCAAGAGCAATGGAGATCCAGAATTGAAAGTTACCCTTTGGAGGAATTCAAACATGACTTCAAACAGACCAGACAATTACTGGGTGTCCACATCTTGAAATAGGAAGACCACCATGAACTCTCCATGTCCAAAAGAAGCCAAACACACCTACCAAAAACCCATCATAGTTTTCATTAACTTTACCGTGTTTGCCCAGGATATTGTCCTAAAATGCAGATAAAATTAGCTCCTTCTCTGTTAACTTTGGCACACTAATGTAAAAATAGCGTGGAAGCATCTAGATGCACATTGCCCAGTCCCACAGAGATTTTAGGAGTATAAACACTGTATGACTAAATCTCATTCTGCAATTAAGCACTTAGACCCACCCAGAATGAGTTTGTGTTGCTATGTCTGAATCTGAACTACCCAGAGCAGTAGTCATTTACCAATATACTTGTAACAATGAAAAATGGTCTGGCCCTCCAGATTTCCACAAAACAAAAGTATGTCTTCCAAAGCTCATCAAAGACAGTGAAAAAGGACAGCTCAGGAAGATTGTCAGCATGATATTTCCTTCCACCTAAGTCAGCAGATGTGGGGAGAGAGCCAAGATCCAGCTTTTCAAATTCTGAACTCCAGCTGCTCCTTCACAACCATGACAACAACATGCTCATCTTCACTGGGGCCATGCCAGGTCTCAGATACCTCCTGCCAAGAGCATGTTGTCTTTGGTAGTCGACAAAAAAAGACCAATAGTCAAAAGGTGGACAAAAATATTCATCTAAGCCAATAGGGAATGTAAAGGGAAGTTCTTTTAGAAACTGTGATTGCAAATTTGCTTAAAAGTGGGAAAGGAAACAAAGCTATGAAGTGTTATTGCATGTTTCCACTCTTACTCCTGGACCAAATTAATCTCTAATTTAGTTTGTTAAAAAAAAGAGAAAATGTTAATAATGTGAGCACAGCATTTTTATAAAGGAGCCTTGACACAATTGCTTAATCCAGCTCCAGTAAACACATTCTGAATTTAGCCAGCATTGAACATTAAAGCCTTCCAAAATCTCCTCGATAGTCACACAAGGGTGACAAGTATAATCAACAACTGAATGTCAGTATTGTTCGACACCATGGCTGCCCACACATACGAAGGTGCTCAGCTGTAAAGCTTAGAATAGATCTCTGTACATTTTTAAATTGCTACAACAGCATATCTGTTAACAAATATCAGACCCACTTCCTATTAAATGCACACAAAGCTGCATCTGAGTCCAGTACAAGCAGCACTGGTAAGATTCCACTTCCAGAGGAGCTGATCCACAGCCTGCTCTGGAGGAGCTATGTTGGACAGCAGGCAGCTTCCAATGATACACTGACAAAGAGTATCAGACACATGTGAGTGTTTGTAGTGCTTCTGTTAACATTCATCCAGGAGTCCAGTACAAGCAGCACTGGTAAGATTCCACTTCCAGAGGAGCTGATCCACAGCCTGCTCTGGAGGAGCTATGTTGGACAGCAGGCAGCTTCCAATGACACGCTGACAAAGAGTATCAGACACATGTGTTTGTAGTGCTTCTGTTAACATTCATCCAGATTCTATTCATCTACAGATCAGAAATGCATTTGTCACAATATACTTTTAACAAGCACAGCTGTGCAGCAGACCACACAATGACAGCAAGCTCCTGGTGCACCAAATGACTGTAAGAGCAGGGCCCCTTCTTTTGCCTGAATTCCACGTGGGATATTAGACCACGACTTGATATGCAATCAAGGGAGGGTGTGGGTAGCCAGAAGGGGAGGTAGCACTTGGCCACTGCCCTTCTTTACCCATCTGCCCCAAGCTGCCTAGGTACCAGCTGTGCTCACAGCAGTGTTTGTGTGGCCTCGTGGGGAACCAGAGTAGCAAACTGATCCAGAGAGCACACTCAGCTTTGTAGTACCTGTGGAATATGAGCAGTAAAATCCCCCCTGGCTGCCTATCCCATCTTCTAAATAGGAAGATAGGAATCACAGATTTCCCATAATACATATTCTGTTTCTAGCATAAGACCTCCCTTCAAATCCTCTCACACACTCCTTTCTTTTTTCACAAGTTTTAGCAGTATGCTAATCTGCTGCTAATTTGAAGTGCTCTGGAAAACTGAAGCTCTCTCCTTGCAGCCTAAGTGCAGAGCAGGCAGCTCCAGAGGCACAAGCCCTGCCCTGTCAGTCAAGGGGCAGCTCAGCTGGTACACTTCCCAGGGCTGAGTAGAATAAAGATGGTCCTATAGCAGTGGGGACATCAGTCTATTATACACAAGACTAAGTAATTTAATTTATCCCATACATTGCCAAGCAATTGGCACTAGCTGATTAAAGACAGATTTCATGTTGAATATCTTAGAACTGGTAGCACTACAAAAATATCAATACAAGATATATAAACCATTATTTAACAAAAATTACTTACATTGCTCCAAGTACTGAAGATTTCTCTGTTACTTTATTTTTGAGTGCTAGATTTCATTTCACACATGTAGAGATCCCTATACTAATTTTGCAGTACCTGACTTTTTTGTCTCATCAGAACACTATTTGAAAAGCAAAAAAGACTGACAAATGCTGAACATAAGAAATCAATCCAGTAACATTAAAATTCCTCACACCAGTAGGTCAACAGCAAAGTGTGTTAAGAGCTGCAGCACTTTGAGGGTAAAGGTCTTGAAACAAAGTTCCTAAGTTTTAAAAAACAATAGCAAAACTACATCACCAGAATTAGGAATCATGAGATTCTTCTCCATGTAGTAGTGTACACAGACACCACTTTGAGATGTCAGCATAAACCCACTCTATGTAAGGTACTGAAGATGTTTCTAGGACTATTCTGTAGGACATGCCTCCCATCTCTCTGCTTTCAGGCCTACCTAAGAGCAGACTGAAGGTGCACATGGATCATTATTTGCATCTAGGCCAAAGCAAAGTGTTCAAGCTCATTTTCAGTAGACTGACAGCCCTTCATGTTACTGCCTGACTGCAAGGCACCTTACAGGCTCTGCAGCAACTGAAGTTTTGCAGCTTCTTCTCACAAACTCTCCATCATTTGTCTGACATGCAAAACATTAATCTCAGTCATTTCCATCCTACTAGAATATGAAGTCCACATAGAAGAAAAACATATTTCAACTAAGATGCCTTCAATGAGCTGTTTCCACATCTCTAACTTTTCTTTTGACTAAATCTGGATTTGCAGTGTTACTGATTTTCAAATTCTTGGCATGGAAACATCTGGACTAAAGGCACAGCAGGCTCACAAGACAAAAGTGGAGCTCACTGGCAAGAGAGAGAGGTTGCAAGTATGGGAAAAAAGACTGATTGCACATGCTTGTCCTTAGCTACAATTAAGTACTCTAAAGTGTAATTAATGCAGAAATACTGTCAACAGCTGCTTTTTCATAACACTGAAAAAACATACAAAGCTCTGAAACCACAAAGTGAGGAATTTATCACTGACCTCTGCAATGCCCTTTAGAGCTAGTACTAATTACTGAAAATAGCTCCAAATAGAACCATCACTAGGAAAGTATTCTACAGTTTCAATGTCCCCTGAATTTGGCAGAACTGCTCTGAAGGGTGGAAGAATTAGTGGTGGTAGACTGTCTGAGTCTCTGTTATGTATTTGTGGAAATGGACTTCTAGTGACAAGTGAATGGAAAGTAATCAAATACTTACAGTAATCTGGAGAGATAAGCTAAAATAGGCAGTTCTATTTCTATTGAAGCTAGTACTTTTGTAGGTAGTCAGCACTTTAGCTTTTCCTATAAATTCAATATGTGCCACAAATGTGTTCCTGACCTCTCCAACCCCATTCACTGGCTTTCAAACCAGCAAACCTAATAAAGAGAAGTCCCATTAAACACCTGAACAACACTTTCAAGACAGCCAACGTGGCAGCTCTGAAATACTGTATAATTGGCAGGACCAACCTGACACATCATTAGCAGCTGTGATTCAAGTTGATAAATCTGTAAGTCTCAGGTTTAGTAAAACAAGAACGTTCTGTAATTTCACAGGGTTTTTTATGCTCCTATTATTGTTTGTGTGTTTTAATGATGCGGCTCAAGTGTCATGAATCTTTTTACATATAAGATGCTCACAGCTTAGGTATCTACACATCAAAGTAAAAACATTTTTGCAATCTTTTTTAAGAACTGCTAAGAACAAGTTTTGCTCTGTTAGTCAAGCAAAACTTCATATCTACTCAACACCATGAAGTGCTTGTGTCTGTACAAGTATTCAGACATATTTTATCAGCAAGATCATCCCTATTAAAGACTAAATGCTTTGCTTCCCAGATGTTCAGTATATATTTATTTATCTTTGCTCTCATTTAAAACACTGTTAGTAACTTTCTGAAATTGTTTTTGAGAGGAAGTAGTCCTTTGAGAATACTCTAAAGTTGACTTAAATCAGTGTTTGGTATCCATAACAAAATTTGCAACTTCCTCTGTGCTTTTACCAGTAACAATTACAGCCTGCATGAGAATTTGTGCAGCATTTAATCTACTGTCTGATGAACTTTCCAATAATACACTTACATGGTGCCTCTGTTCAAATTAGTTTCAGCATAAATCTTGTAACTGCTGGCAAGAGAGTTCCATTTCTTGTCAACAAAACAATATTAGATTCTGAATAACCAAACAATATTTGATCCTGAATAACTGCAATTCCCTTTGGGACCTGCAAGAATAGAAAGCTTTGCTGGAAAAGCAAGTTTCTTAGGAAAAAACCCCGCACCAAAACAATTAAAAATTCTTTGCTAAAACTGCATTTTTACATGGAGCTGGAACATTTGAACACAACTTACATTGGAATCAGCAGTTTTAGGACTACTAAGGGATGACTGAAGAAATTCACTCTCTGAAAGCAGTACTGAATAGACTGACAGGGCCAAATGGACAGATAAAGTGAGTATCAGTTCACATATCGAGTGTTCATAGTATTTTCAGGAAAATACTGATAATTTGGCTCATATTCCAGCCAAACCATGAAGAACTCTGAATGGACAAGGCATCAGGATTCAATCATAGGCTATCAAAGCCCCAACTCAGTAGCTCTTTGTGAAGATGTTTTCCACCATGCTCGCCCAGTTCACTCCTCCAGTAAGTCTGACAGGCCAGAGCAACAGTGCTACTAGCTTTATACTACTGTCTTTCACAGGCTCTCTTTGAAGAGGCACTCAAGGCTCCAGAAAGGACAAGCAGGGTGCCAGAGAGCCATGCACCACTCCATCAGGGCCAGCAAGCATCCCTGGATCTCTGCTGTGCATGGCAACCTTTCCCAATGTGTGCACACTCTGCCCCAACCAGTGCACAGAGGGCGGAAAGAAGGCACATAAGCACTTGTACCTTCCTTCTCCTCCAGGAAGACAGAGCAAAGCAGCACTCTAATTCTTTTATCTTGTATGAATGAGTCTCATGGATACTCTTATTATTCTAAGCAGCTCCTGTTAAAAGGCTGCCTTTCATATATTATGTTAAATAAGCATAAAAAAGATTTAACTTATCGTCGCTGTATTCTTTCTTTTTAAAGTTATATGTGAAGCTGTAATTTGGGGGAAAATTAAAGGGATATAAGAGGAGGGAACTTCACATTTTAAACAAATTTTAATTTGGTTTCTTGCCAGTATTACAGCCATAAAATACAGCTACCACTCATCTCCTACTGTTCAGACTTCTCTACTTCAAGGACTTCAATTTCTTTTTTTCTGAATCCTCATGGCAAGGTTTTTATTAAAGATTCCTCATGTAAGGAGATCTGTATATGAGACAACAACTGGGATTTAGCTGGTGCATAACTGTCTTGTACAACAGAAAATTTAATTTCCGAATAAAACCAGCTAATCAAACATGAGAGGGCATGGAGTATTCTTCAAGTTTGATTTGCCATTTGCAAAGAATTTTCAGATATGTGCATACAGGCAGTAAAGAATCTGTTTGTCCTTTCCCCCCCAAAAAACCCCCTCAAGTTTGCTTGTGTTTTAGAGTTAGCACACAATGCAAGACATTTTTTATAGAGAAATCTCATTCAGATATTTCCTCTTTTTTTTTTTAATAAATAAATGAAAAACTATGTATGATTCAAACCTGCTGGGAACTGCCACAGAATCATTCTCATGATTTGTCTAGTCAGTTACTTTGTGAAACATTGTTTCCATCATTTTACCTCTTGCATTAGTAATTGAAATTGGCATTGCTTTTCTTGTAAAATACCTTTTCCTCTCCCATACTCCAGTCTGCCTGCTAATGAACACAAATTTTCATCTTTCAAGTATGATTTTTTTTTGCCTGGCTAGTTGTAGAAAAGCTACATTGAATGGTGACGCTATTCCTCCAGTTTGATTAACACTTAATGGGTACGAGCGATTCATCATACTGAAAAGATGGTAAACGCATTACTAATTCACAGCAGATTTGAACTGAAACAAAAGAAAAGAAGCGACAACCTCCACTCAGTTACCGCTGGGTACTGAACAGGGCAGAGCGATGTGCAGCGCACAGCAGTGGAAGATAACGGGTTTATTCCCAGCGCAGATTCCGGACATGGGCACTAACAGGGCCGCTTGCTAATGAAGCATGTAGAGCACGATAGAAACCCCACGGCTGCAGCAGGGCTGCTGAAGATCGACCCAGGTGAGCCGGCGCCGCTGCCGCACCCGCCCTGCCGCTCCCGGCCCGGCCTTGCTGCGGGCTCGGCCGCGAACGGCGGCTCCAGACCGCCCCTGCCGCAGGCCGGGCTGCCTGCGCTGACAGCCGGAGCAGATCCCCTCATGCCGCGCCTCATCCTGGAGCGGAGCGGAGCGGTGCAGATCGCCGCTGCGGGGCTCGGGCCCGACCCTGCTCACTCTCCGCCGGGCGGTTCCGCACCTCCGCCAGAGCCCACAACAACGGAAGGGGGAGGTGGGATTCGAACACGGCACGATTTTGTATTTAAATAGGCACCGAACAACGGAAACGGAGGCGAGTAAAGCGGAAAGTCTCGGATTTGCGTGGCAATCTCCCGGTACCGCCACTGGCGGGGATGTCGCCCCTGCCCGGCTCCGGCCAACCAGCGCGGCCGGCACCGGGCACGGGTGACTCCCGCCTGGCAGGGATCCCGTCCCCCCGAGCAAGGGCAGCGCCGCCCCACTCCCTCACGGCCCGGGCCTCCCGCGCCCCACGTACCTCCCCCGGCCCGGCACGGCCCGTCCCGCTCCCGGGACAGCGGGGCAGCGGCCAAGATGCGGGCCGGGGCCGGCGGGCGGGCCGAGGGGAGCCGAGCGCGCCGCACGCCGCCCAGCGCGAAGATGGCAGCGGGGGAGCCGCAAGCCAAGAAGCTCAAGCTGGAGCAGAAGCAGCTGAGGTAACGGGCTCCGGGACGGGCTCTGCTTCGCCAGCAAGCCCTGCGGGTGCCGGAGGGCGGCCGGTGCTGCCCCCGGCGGAGGGCGAGACACGTGCTGCTGAGCATCTGGATGGGATGCGGTGAAACGGAACGCTGCTCGGAACGATGGCCCCGTGCTAGAGCACAGCTGGGGTTGTCATTGCGTCTGCCTCCCCTTTGAAAACAGCCTATGAAAAATGCCCCGATTAATTCTCGTGCGAGGGTCTCTGTCCCCCTTGGACAGGGAACTGAAAATCCGCGTTAACAGTTACATTTTCTTCAAGACATAACGTATATTTTAAAATATCTTCATACTGAAATAATCTGTGCGATTTGCTGTATTTCCTCATTTCAGTGATTAGAGTACAATAGCGCTGACTCAATCCCATCTGAATGATGGACTGCACAGACATAAGTAATTTATTTTTAAATGTCATAGCAGAAAAATGTAAGGTTTCTCAATGGGGGATGCACAGTCAAGATGAGAACTCTGAGTATTGAGAGCTGTAGAGTTTTTGGGGTTTTTTTTTTGTACAGTTTCAAGTTTGTTTTCTCAGGATTATTCAGATATGAATATAATTGTAAGATACGTGACTTCCATCCAAGCGTTCAGTGTATGAAGAGAATTAATGACATAAGCCTTGAAAGGTCCAAAATTATCTTGGCGATAACTGATAACTAATAACTCACTCAAATATAGCATAAAGGGGATGTACTTGAGTACTGAGATGAGAACAGTCTTTTTTGGTACTGATGTCCTTATAGAAAGAGCTAATCAATTAAATTTGTCAAAGTCAGGGTACTTGCTTCTTCAGCCTCCAAGTGACTTTTCAAGTTTAATCATGGTTGACAAGCTCAGTTGCAGATAGTAGAAGAGGAAAGATGTAACTGAGCTCTGAAAGCAAATAAATGGCAGACAGCAAGATAAGGTTGTAGTCAAAAAGCAGCAGTTATCTCCATGGCCCTTAAAGCAAGATGAGGCAAGAAACAGCAAGGCCATCAGCTGCAATGTTTCTGTTTATAAAGTTTATTAGAGGAAACAGCGTTTTAAGATGAAGCATGAAAAAATTTTAAAATTTAAGAATATTATTGGTGTACCGCATTAAAAATTTAAAGGTTGTTTGCAGTGGAATGAAAGGCAGTGGTGGCATGCTCTGATACCGACTGACTAAACTGCAAATACTACTTCTGTAAGGTATGATAGATAAAACATGAGGAATGTTGTTAGAACTTGCATATGCTAATTCTGTTGCAAGTTATTTCAAGCCAAAGTATAAATAGGCTCCAGCTCTGTTTCATAAGAGGAGAAATGCCGTAATTAACCAGCGATCAAATAAAGTTAACGTGTGCTGTTTGCCACAGGTTGAACTCATGAAGCAGTTGGTGGTTGGACTAGATTTAGCAGACCTTAACACTCATTTGAATGTAGTGGCAAGAATGTGTTTGGCTGAGGGCTGTTGTGGGGCTTAAAAGCCTCTAGAGAAGGTACCAGACTGGTCGAGGTTCCATGGCTTGGCTGTGTTTGTAAGGAGATTCAGTTGTTCATGCAAAACACTGCTAGATAAGCTTGGAAACAGTTCCTCTAGAGATTAGAAAAGAAGTGAAAAATCACTTGAAAATTTTGGGGCTCAATAACATCGTACTTGTTATACCAAGAGTTTGAGGAGATTATAGAGAATGATTCCTTGTTCTCAACATGTACATCTGGGGCTTTCCAGTCTCTTCAGAAGACCATGTCTAATGGATTCAACAAGGATGGTTGTACCATATTTATCCTCCCATATGATATCAACCTCAACCTTTCCTGTGATTACTATGAAAACTATTTTAGTATAAAAAATGAAATAAAAAATAATTCTGCAATGCAATACACACCATACCTCATCAATAATAGCAAATGTTTCCTTCCCCTGTTTTGTCTTGTTTTGGTCATTTTCTCTCTCAAACTGGCTTGCTTCATAGAGGTTTCATGGATACATTTTTACACCCTTTTGATCTTTTCAAAGGAAAGCACATATTGCTCCCTCATGAGGCAGGCAAAGCTGACTGGGTTCAGGAAGCTACACTTGTTTGAAAGCAGTATAGGATGGCTGGCTTTTGCCACCCAGTGAGCAGCACACAAAGCCCGAGACCCAAACTGGCAGTCCCAGCTCAACAATGTGTTGTGCTGACATTCATTTGCTGGGCCACAGGTTTTGCATTGTCTTTATTGACTTTTGCAAATCCCTACTAGAAACCAATGGGCTTTAGGCAAGGCCATCAGTGTGTGCTGCCTTGTTTGGGCTTCTGACTGCATCTCTGCTGTGTGAAGTAGAATATCATTGTACGTGTGTGAAATGCACTGTTTGAACAGAAAATGGACTTGCAAAACTGCAAATGGCTTGTCACTGAGTGGCAGCATCAACTTACTAGAAACATCATGAGGTGTTACTTTAGAGGAGAATTACTAAAGATTTGTGTCCTTTTATATTTGGTTTTGTTAGGGATGTCTGTGAAAACCACAGGCAGATTCTGTTCACAGCCTAGTACAGTTATGAAAGAATTTGGATGTTTTCCGTGGAAATGTTTGAACTTATATGTACGTGTCTGTCCAGAGTTATGCATGTTCATTTTTTCCTTCTGCACACAAACTTGTCAAGTCCCTTGTGCTGCATTATGACCTTCTGGCTGTTCTGCAGCTGCTCTATTGATTGGATAGTCATGACGTGGCTAGTTGTTTGAACAAATCAGTTTATCTAGATGACAGTGTAAGCATTGAGTTTGGCAAATAGTTTGTACTAAAAGTAAAAAGTACAATATTCCTCCTCTTCTGCTACTATTAGACATCTCTTCATTTTAAGAATAAATTGTCAAATACTCTGTGCATAATTGTTATCAAAAGTGGTCCTTTGTCATTACTGTTCCACTAGATTTTAGAAAGCTTGATACTAGCGGCTGTAAAAAATATTGCTAATTTCACGCATTTTTAATTTTTTAAATAAGCTGACTTTTAATTTAGCTTATTCCTTCATCAACTCTTTATAAATGAAAGAAGATTCTGAATATTTTAAATTAGCTGTGACTAAGCTTTCAGTTAGAATTTAGTAAATAATTTTTCTTCCTCTTTTATCTCTTGGTTTGGTTTTTTGTTTTTTGTTTGTTTTTTTAATTTCACCTTTCTCCCCATTTGTATTCATTTCAGTTTTTGTCTTCATGGCTTATAGTTTTCTTACTTTTCTGTTTCTTAATCGGCAAACACAGGTAACATTTTCCATGTTGGTACTCGTAATGTCCTCAGGTCAAAGAAAGATCTGAAACTCAAGCACTTTGCCACATTTGTTCCCAGGATTAAAGCAATAGACTTTTTCTTCAGATGCATATTTAGTCCCCTTTAGAAATCAAACAAATACTTTAGAGGACACTAGCAACAAATGTTGCTAATCTTGTTTTATTTAGGATGTAACAGCAGTTACTTTCCCTTCCAAGCTGTGTTGACAGAAATACATCCAAAACCGGAATGACTTGCGGCATGGAAACTCCTGTGCTCTTGCAGTGCAGGCACTGGTTTCCATTGTTCAGATGTGTAACTCTCAAATTACCCTTGTCAAGTGTCTTCACCTGGCCTTTGATGTAATCCTCTGGGATTTTGCACAGCATGTGTCATGTTTCCACAATTTTGTGTTCTTGTTTGCTGTGGCGTTTCATCCTTTTGATGGAAGTAATTCCTTGCTTTATTGTAGGGAGCTGTAACCTGAGGAAAAGGAGGTTGTGGGATGGCTCTTTGTTCTCTGGACCACAGGCTCTCTTTCCTTACTGGTGTTACCTGCAGCCCACCTGGGCAGCAGTCACAGCCACAGCGGTGGTTCAGACATCACAGCCTCGGCCAATGCCCTGAGAAAGGTGCAGCTCTGCCTTGCTGGGATAAGTCCTGGCCTCCCTTAAGTCCCTGGGACTAGTCCTGTCCCTGAGGCTGATTGCAAACTGGATTACCTGGGAGAGAAGAGCCAGTGTAAATAGGCCTATTTCACCTTGAATCTTGAAATAGTGTTTTCCTGATATTTGAGTTCCTTCTTTTTCGACTAAAGGAACAGTTTGTGTGGGATTACCTCATTGGATCTACTAATATCACTTATGAACAGACAAGGAAGATGCCCAGGAAAGAGACTTGAATGAATGTAGAATTAGCTGACTGTGGTGTTAGTATAGCAATGTGAATTTCTGTAGCACAAGACTTGGCTTACTCTGCTGTTGATAAGGCATATTTCATGTGGAAATCTTGGAAGCAAAATTCTGGCTTGTGATACAAGGTTGTGATATTGAATTTTAGTAGTTACTTACACAGGCATGGTACACAAATATTTCACAAAACCAGTTTCAGAAGCAGGGAATGGGTTGCTATCTAAAGGTCATTAATTACTATTTGCTGACAGTGTATTGGAAAAACCTTATCTTCTTGTGAAAAAAGTAAATTGAATTTGCAGATACAATGTGAACACAATGTTTTTTTCAAGGCTGTTCATTTTTCATTTACATAAGTTGATTCTTAAAAATTATTAATATAATGTATAATAGTAGTACAAAATATTATTACTTATATAATATAAACACATTTTGTGTGAAGAAGAGAAGTCTTTGGTATTACTCAGATTTCAGGGAAAGGAAAGGGATTTTTTCCACTTTGAACTGTAATAATTTCCATAATGATTATTTGACCACAGTCAAAGCTGTTCTGCACTTGAAGGATATGGTAAGATAAAGCTACTTGCTGGCGTTATGCTACCTTGGGATTTCATTTACAGTGAAAGATTGTTGTGGTTTTTTTTTCCTTGTACATTCAACGGCACAAAGCAGTTGTAACTCTTTCAAGGGCTATGCTGTTTGATTAGAATAAAA